AGACCTGCCGCGTTCAAGGAGTGGGACTCTAACCCGGACGCTTATAAGAAATCCCGCTATGCCCTCCGACGAACCATCAAACAGGCAAAGCGTCAATACAGGACTAAGATTGAATCGTACTACACCGGCTCCAACGCTCGTCGGATGTGGCAGGGCTTGCAAACTACTACAGACTACAAAGGGAAGCACAGCCGCAAGCTGCCCAGTGACACGAGCCTACCAGACGAGCTAAATTACTATGCTCGCTTCGAGGCAAGCAACACTGAAGCATGCATGAGAGCATCAGCTGTTCCGGACGACTGTGTGATCATGCTCTCCGTAGCCGATGTGAGTAAGACCTTTAAACAGGTCAACATTCACAAGACCACAGAGCCAGACGGATTACCAGGACGTGTACTCCGAGCATGCGCTGACCAACTGGCAAGTGTCTTCACTGACATTTTCAACCTGTCCCTGACTGAGTCTGTAATACCAACATGTTTCAAACAGACCACCATAGTCCCTGTGCCCAAGAACACTAAGGTAACCTGCCTAAATGACTACCGACCCGTAGCACTCACGTCTGTAGCCATGAAGTGCTTTGAAAGGCTGGTCATGGCTCACATCAACACCATTATGCCAGAAACCCTAGACCCACTCCAATTTGCATACCACCCCAACAGATCCACAGATGATGCTATCTCTATTGCACTCCACACTGCCCTTTCCCACCTGGACAAAAGGAACACCTACGTGAGAATGCTATTCATTGACTACAGCTCAGCGTTCAACACCATAGAGCCCTCAAAGCTCATCACTAAGCTAAGGACCCTGGGACTATACACCTCCCTCTGCAACTGGATCCTGGACTACCTGACGGGCCGCCCCCAGGTGGCAAGGGTAGGTAACAACACATCTGCCACGCTAATCCTCAACACGGGAGCCCCTCAGGGGTGCGTGCTCAGTCCCCTCCTGTACTCCCTGTTCACCCATGACTGCATGGCCAAGCACGACTCCAACACCATCATTAAGTTTGCCAACGACACAACAGTGGTAGGCCTGATCACCGACAGCAAGGAGACAGCCTATAGGGAGGAGGTCAGAGACCTGGCCGTGTGGTGCCAGGATAACAACCTCTCCCTCAACGTGATCAAGACAAAGGAGATGATTGTGGACTACAAGAAAAGGAGGACCGAGCACGCCCCCATTCTCATCGACGAGCCTGTAGTGGAGCAGGTTGAGAGCTTCAAGTTCCTTGGTGTCCACATCAACAACAAACTATCATGTTCCAAACACACCAAGACAGTCGTGAAGAGGGCACGACAAAGCCTATTCCCCCTCAGAAGACTGGAAAGATTTGGCATGTGTCCTCAGATCCTCAAGAAGTTCCTCATGTGACAAATACAATTTGATTTGAAATGAAAAGTATGATGTCGCACTTTTTTCCAGGTTGCTGTGTTTTACTGATCTCAGTTCTGCACTTTTCTGAATTGAGTATAAGGAATTTGTTTGTGTGCCTCTGGTCTTTGTTTAGTTCATTACCCGATGCAGGATGTTGTATTTGAGTGATAATAGTATATTGTATCAGTAGAGTGAGCCAGGAAGTATAATTACTAGATCATTTATCATTTCATTGCTCTGTGGTCAGTTGTTTTCTAATTTATTTTAATAGACAGATAATTAAAGCAATTCTGATACACTGATCTTATTTGCTACAATCTATTCTGTTAAAACTGTGCTAGTCATTGCAAACATCTCCTTTGGTTTTCATTAATCAGCTGTAACAGAGCTGTACTGTTACCATTGCTATGTTTATCCATTGTGTTCTGTTCATCTCTCCACCTGTTAGCCTCGAGGCAAGGACCGATGAGTATGTTCACCATTCATTCCATTCTCCTCTCCTATCACCTCTCTAGAGCATGGCTGTTTAGTCATGCTAGCAGCTTGCGCTCCCATTTTCATTGGAAATGTATCCAAGGGATACGATAGTCCCTTCAGGAAAGCAAATAGATTCACTACAGAAAGCTAGTGTCTTTATATGCAAACATGAATGCGTATGCTGCTGAAATGACTAATGACATTATGGATTTATTTAAACAAGTGAGTCAATTGTGTCACAGCACTTAGCAACATGACAAAGAAAAATGGATCCGGGTATAGACTTGCCATACAAATGGTCTCGCTCAACAGTTACTGCTCACATTTCTTCTGGCCAAAGAGAACATGCTACACCTCTCCTGGATTAACATCAGATGAATGTCAGTCTTCAGTCATTCCTTAGGGGATTTAGAAGTAAGTCCAGAATCGCTGAATATTACCAACAGATTCTTACCTGTTCACAAATTCTGCACCTAACTTCAGGCATACAATAGTGAGCTACATTACATGTATTATGACTGTAGAAATCAATACGCTGACATTTAGAAGGATTAAAAAAAAGTTATTATTTCTGTTTCTGCTTTAACCAACTCGTTGTTGCCTTGCCAAACTGCTAATGATTGGAAGAATTTCCATAATTTGAGCTGTGGAGCTTAATACTCATTGAGTTGAGTTCAAAGATAAATGGACTTGTCAACGCTGCAGCCTAGCGACCACATTGGACTCCCAATGCAGGGGAATTTAAAAATCAAGCCCGATTGGTTCGAACACAGCTGTGTGAACTGGAAAAGCCCTTTGGCAAGAGTAAAGCACAGGCAGACTGGACCTTCATGAGCGCTTAATGTGCCCTTAAAGCTTAGTGAGACGTTTTCAAGTGAAAGTGCTTATTTGCGAGAGCTAAGCTGCTTTCTACTTGCCACTTTTAACCCCCTTGCATCTACACTTAGTAACTTAACTTAACTTAACATGATCTGCTAGACTAGTTCAATATATTCCAAAGGGAAGGTAATAGGTTAACAATACTTTATGGCAGATTGTAATCTTTTAATCATTGTTTCTCCTTGATGCACTATTTTCCTCTCTCTAAGGAATGCTGCGGAGACTGATTCAGACCTGGTCTGGATAAAATATTTTAATGCTGGGTTATCTCTTTAAATTCTCTCTCCTCACATGCGTCTCTTTTCACTAACCCTCTCCATTCCTCTGTTCCTGCTCTGAAATGTCAACGGAGGAAACACCACTAAGGGAAAATAGAAGTTGAATGTGTCACGATTCTTGAATCAATATTCTGTCATGATGAGCTACAATGGAGGGTATTGACTTACAGAATAAATAACTTATTGATATACAGTATTGAGCTTGTCTCAACTAATAGGCAGAGATTCCTTAAAGTGGAATAGGATCTTAGTAATGGTATCTTGGACTAATATTGTGTTTGTTTGAGGGGTAGAAGGCTCATAGATCTTGTGAACAGTGAACACACAATGCTCAGAAAACCCTTGCAGAAGTAAGCTATCAAACATCCATTTAGCTCCGTTTCAGCTAGTGAACCCAAATGGAATTATGTGTCAAGTTCCTCTAACATCTCCAAAGAGAGCAGTGAACAAACTTGTGATTTCATAACTTTGTTTACTGGGTTATGTAGCAAAGGTCAAGCTGTCAGAGTCAGTGACTGAAGCGCCCAGGGTAAGGCAGGGTGAGCCTGATACCCTCTGGCAGGGCGACGTGTGCAGTGGTATTTCAGTGCAACCTCTGAGAGAAACCCCATCGCTGTCCCCCTGGTGGCTGCTGGATAAACGCAGGGGGGTGACGTGCTGGATATAATGCAGGTGGATATGCCCAATGCACATTAGACTATCCCTCAGGAAGCCTGAACAGCCTGGCATGGTGCTGGAACTGCTGCAGTCTGCATAATCCATGGCAACTGCATTGAACTGGAGGCTATGGTCTTAGCAAATAGCAGCACAGATAGAGGATGCACGGTTAAGAAGACACTGGCATGCAAAATCAATTATGTCACAAATAAGATCTTGCACAGCACGTCACCATCTGTGAATTAACATTTTACAGTACTGTGGAATGACAGACGGAGACGAACTCACATATTTTCTTTAACTTACAGCACATTCTCAGTAATGTAACTCTCTTATCTTACTGCTCCATAGAGGCTCATAAGAAAGGTGAGTAACACATGGTTGCCTACAGAACGAAGGGACAGGTTTGTAAGCAGAGCCCAAGTCGTGACCTCACATCAGTCTTTCCCCTACGCATCTCCTCGAACTGCTGTGAAATCGCAGTGGAACCCGTTTGTGTCTTTTCTCTCCTAGTGCTCTCTGTCACAAACCAGAGCCTTCTTACTGTAACACAAGGTCTTTGTCACCAGCGCATTAGAGGCAGAGAGCTCTCTCTCTCTTTCTCTCTCTCTCTCACCCCCCATTCCCTTTTACCTGCAGTCGTGTGACAATGATCTTTATTCTGCTCCATGGATACAGGAAGCAGGCATCTCCCCTGAGTGACACGTCTGACTGCATGCCTTCAGTGTTGTGTTGTGGAAAGCAGGACCGTCGTCAGAGAGGAGACAGGCTGAGAGGGGCAGGCTGGGTCAGTCTGTGGCCCCCTGCCTTATGTGAAGTCATCATTGTGCGCCAGACAGTTTTAGTTCTCTAACTGTGATGCAGATGGAGAGATAGGAGAGAGTGTGAGTGAGAGAGAGAGAGAAAGCGAGAGCGAGTGAGAGAAAGAAAGCGAGAGAGAAAGGGAGAGACAGAGAGAGAGGCCACGGGGGATATCCTGTCTTATAGTGTGTCTGGTGTAATGGGTGTTGTGCTGTCTCCGCAGGCGGCTCAGGGCGGTGGACACAGGACACTTCTGTATGGACACGCTATCCTCCTGAGGCACTCCTTTAGCGCTATGGTGAGACTGCACTGCACGCACACTCTCATACGATACCCAAGGACAGGGGATTGTTTTGTCATTATTCCATGTGTTACTATTTCATAGTTACTATTTTATAGCATTTCATAGGAATATTTGTTTAATATGTCATACTGACATTTGATCCAGTTCTGAGTGTTACAGCAGGATTGTGTGACTCTTTTGGTCATCATTCTCATGTTGCTTTGATGTGTATCTATACATTGCAGTATCTGACCTGTTTGAAGACTTCAAGGTCACAGACAGATAAGCTGTCCTTTGATGTGGGGCTGCAGGAGGACTCAACAGGTAAAACCTCACAGTCACATTCATAGCTGGGATTCTGACTTTACCTGCCCCACTATTCATTTCAGATTCTCTTAAGCACTGCATGAAAAGAGGGATTTGCAGTTTCCTATATTGTAGGAAATGTACCACATTTGCAGAGATTTCAGTTATTTATTCCCTAGGAGATCTCCCCTGGTAACATTCCAAGCAGACTGAAATAAATGTCCTAGATTGGATCTTTGTCACGATGTTGAGGCTCAGCTCATTTGTCTCATAAAGATGTTAAAGATGGTATGGCTTTCCACATATTGGAAGGCTGGTTGCTGTGGTGCTTGTATGTTGATAAGTGTGAGTGGGCTTACAGTATATTAGAGTTTGTGCGAATACGTTTGTGTGTCTTAAATGTAATTTATGTGTCTGTGCTGTGCTCGCTTGTGTGTGTTGATTTCACCATTGTCATCTATCCCCAAACAGTAGTTACAGGTTCAACTTTCTGTGTAGCTCAATCATCTGTGTATGTACACTGAACAAAAATATAAATGCAACATGCAACGATTTCAAAGATCTTTCTGAGTTACAGTTCATAAGGAAATCAATCAATTGATTTGCCTCATGCGTGACACATCTCCTTCGCATAGAGTTGATCAGGCTGTTAATTGTGGCCTGTGGGATGTTGTCCCACTCCTCTTCAATGGATGTGCAAAGTTTCTGGATATTGGCGGGAACGGGAACGCGCTGTCGTACACATCGATCCAGAGCATCCCAAACATGCTCAATAGGTGACATGTCTGGTGAGTATGCAGGCCACGGAAGAACTGGGACATTTTCAGCTTCCAGGAATTGTGTACAGATCCTTGCGACATGGGGCCGTGCGTTATCATGCTGAAACATGAGGTGATGGCGGCGGATGAATGGCACGACAATGGGCCTCAGAATCTCATCACGGTATCTCTGTGCATTCAAATTGCCATCGATAAAATGCAATTGTGTTCGTTGTCTGTAGCTTATGCTTGCCCATACCATAAACCCACCGCTACCATGGGGGACTCACAACGTTGACATCAGCAAACCGCTCGCCCACACGATGCCATACACACTTTCTGACATCTGCCCGGTACAGTTGAAACCAGGATTAATCCGTGAAGAGCACACTTCTCCAGCGTGTCAGTGGCCATCGAAGGTGAGCATTTTCCCACTGAAGTCGGTTACGACGCAGAACTGCAGTCAGGGTGGTGAAGACAACGAGCACGCAGATGAGCTATCCTGAGACAGTTTCTTCGGTTGTGCAAACCCACAGTTTCATCAGCTGTCCGGGTGGCTGGTGAAGAAGCCAGATGTGGAGGTCCTTGTCTGGCGTGGTTATACGTGGTCTGCGGTTGTGAGGCCGGTTGGACGTACTGGCAAATTCTCTAAAACGACGTTGGAGGCGGCTTATGTTAGAGAAATGAACATTCAATTCTCTGGCAATAGCTCTGGTGGAAATTCCTGCAGTCAGCATGCCAATTGCACGCTCCCTCAAAACTTGAGACATCTGTGGCATTTTAGTGGCCTTTTATTGTCCCCAGCACAAGGTGCACCTGTGTAATGATCAGCTTCTTGATATGCCTGTCAGGAGGATGGATTATCTTGGCAAAGGAGAAATGCTCACTAACAGGGATGTAAACAAATTTCTGCAGAACATTTTTGAGAAATAAGCTTTTTGTGCATATTGAAACATTTTGGATTTTTTTTTCAGCTCATGAAACATGAGACCAACACTTTACATGTTGTGTTTATATTTTTGTTCAGTGTATATTTGTATAATGTTTTTTTTTTATGCAAAAATACTCCTGTCTGAACTTAAACAACTAAAACCAGGTTAAAACATTTTTGGGGGAAATTATAATGAACCTACATTTTTTATAATGTAATCTCTAAACTATTTTTCTTAAATCACAGTATTTTTAATATAGAGTTATTAGCAGCGCTATTTAGCGAATTTGGTTGATTTTGTGGTCTCAATCCAGTGAGCTTATTAACATTATTCATCAGCAATATGGGCAAAATGGAATTATTGACAATGAAAAAGGTGGGAATGATGTTCCCTTGTAATATAATTGCTACATTTACTATCAATATAGCATACAATATTGTTTTCCAGTTTGCATTTAGCCCCAAAAAATTGGGATGCGAATATTTGTCACGAACGTTGAGACGGGTCAGACCAAGGTGCAGCGTGGTATGCGAACATGTTTATTAAACTGGATAAACACTGACAAAACAACAAAAGGCAACGAAAACGTGACGTCGGAAGGCTATACACAAACAAGCCAAACACACCGAAACACAAACAAGATCCCACAACCCAGGCAGGAATACTGGCTGCCTAAGTATGATCCCCAATCAGAGACAACGAGCGACAGCTGCCTCTGATTGGGAACCACACCCGGCCAAACATAGAAATACAGAACCTAAACTTTCACACCCTGACCAAACTACCTAGATAATAACAGTCTCTCCAGGTCAGGGCGTGACAATATTGGGTCGCGACTGAGACAACCTGGTTAAATTTGGGTCCCGAGGCAAAACCAGTTGAGAACCAATGATGTAGATCATAGAGTTATAAATAACATTATTCAGGCAGGTGACCGCACCACTGTTTCTCTGTGCTCCTGCAGGTGAAGCCTGTTGGTGGACCATCCATCCTGCTTCCAAACAGAGGTCAGAGGGCGAGAAGGTACGCATCGGAGATGACCTCATCCTTGTCAGCGTGTCATCAGAACGATACCTTGTGAGTACACCTTCAGTCTATAAACATCTCATTAAGAATAATACATATTATAGGCTATTTAATGTTTCCAGACCCATTAAACAGAGCCATAATGCCATTCCATCCTGTAGGTTAGCCAAAGATTGTAGATCGGGTTCTCGGACTGAAGGTGTCTCCCTCCCACACAGCTCCCTCTGTCCAGTAAAGCAGACCACAGATTGGGGACAGGAAGCTAAGAAAGAGCAGGGGAAAGCTACACATGTAGAGCTGGGATGGAGAGAGCAACACTGTCAAACTGAACACCTACTGTACCCTACCTTACTCTGTCCCCGATCTCTCCTTCCCTACACCGTGCAGCCTGGCCAGCCCTGCTCCCTTGTTCCTCTTCAGGCCCATCTATGAGCATCTCCCAGACCCAGACCCCACTGTGTTATTCCCACTGTGTGGGTCTCAGGGCCTTGGCATGCTGGGCCTGGAAAACATATCCAGCATGACGCAGGGAGAGTGTGACAACAGCCCGGCTCCGGGCCCTGCTGTCACCATTGAGAAGCTCCCTCTAACCTGGCATATAGCACCTCCAGGTCCATGAATGGAGGAGGGAGGTGGAGAGTTCCCCAAGTGTCTGGCGCGTGCACACACACACAAACCCAGAGCCCTAGAAACTGGTAGATTCCCGAGTCCACTCGCAGTCCTGTACACTCTCCAGTGCCAGCCTCTCTCCAGCTTGATGAAGGACTCTAAATCTACTGCATTGATAACAGCCTTCCTATCATGCCCTCCAGTGCATGCATGGACAAACCTCTGAGTTGTAGCCTGGCCCAATGCCTTGAATCAAACTGGATATTTGATATGGGCCCTGCAGTATAGGCCTACTGGTAGTGTGTGTCCCATACTGTAGTTATTGATAGTGTGTGTAACATAATGTTCCTCTGTCTCCACCAGCACCTGTCCATCTCCAATGGCAACATCCAGGTGGACGCGTCCTTCATGCAGACTCTGTGGAACGTCCACCCCACCTGCTCCGGCAGCAACGTGGAGGAGGGTAGGTTCATTTAGCGTCACTGGCTTATAATGTTGTTTGAAATGTTGTGGGTATCAATTAAAGGTGCTGTTAATCCATCCTCCTAAAGGTTACCTGCTGGGTGGCCATGTGTTGCGTCTGTTCCATGGTCATGATGAGGTTTTGACCATCCCAGGGTCCGACCAGAGTGATGAGCAACAGAGGTGAGACCTACAGCTGGGAAACGGCTAAAGACTACAATAAATTAGTTTTCCCCTTAGTCTGTTGTGAAAGTGGCCTAAGATCAAATCAGGCTAATTTCTCTGGCCGACCTGGCTGACACTGGCTGGATTGAGGCAATTTACTGTCTTGGCTTCCTCTGGACCCAACAGGATGTTGTCACTACTCAGTGTGAAGCTGGGTCCGAGAGGAGCACAGAAAAATGTCTGCCTTGTTTTCTATAGTCACGCAGCACTAGGGCTGACAGCCTGCAAGATAGCAGAGGGAAATGGCACTTGGGGGTCGGGGAGACATTACTGTAGCCCGTATAAACATTGCCAGGCGCCGAAGACATGTGAAGGACCCTTCATCTTCCTCCCAGTCACACTGTCTATTTTTAGCTCACTGTGTGTGTGTGTGGCAATATGCTGCTGAATAAATATTGGTTGTCAGCCTTGGCTTTCCGTTTAGACCTTGAAATGTAATAGAGGGAGCATTTTCGTAAAACCTTACATTTTCATGAAGGTCCATCAAACATAGTCCTAACAGTCAACAAGGGCCATGAAATATCATTTTTATGTCTGGAGCCAGTCACCTACATCAGTAATAGACAGTGTTGCTCTCAGTCCCCGTTGGTTACGTGGGTGTCCTGGATAAAGGATGTGCTCTGTTGCCGGGAGGGTAAATATTAAGGTTAATCTGAGGTCCCATTCTGAGCCTTCCTTCCTTTGTGCTGATATCACTATGACAGAAGGGAATAAAGCAGTCAGAGTTGGTATCATGTGTCATAAAAACATGACCTTGAGACAATTATGAGCCTGTGGCAGTATTAAAACATTACAGAGATCCAGACCTTTCATCCTCATGCACCTCTTGTGTCCCCAGGTTAGTGAACTATGAGACGGGAAATGCAGGAGCCAAGGCCAGGTCTCTGTGGAGGCTGGAGCCTCTCAGAATCAGGTGAGTTCAGCTCTTTTTATTCCCTCCAGCTTCTCTCTCTAGGTGTTCTATCTCTCCCTCTCTCTCGCTCTGCTCCAACTCACTTTGATGTTTCATGATGCTTTGAGTCAGCCTTTTTGACCCCAACCATTTGTAAAGTCTTTGAAAGATTCAATATCTGTGGCTTTTCTCTCAGATATGCCCTGAACTGTCAGATCTGGAATTTGTCATCCATGTTTCATCTGCTATGGTTTTGACCCTGTTTTGTTTTGATGTAAGCAACTGGGAAATGTCTAGTCATAAGAATGGGTATTACATGCCTAATTATTCAGGTGTTTTCAGCCATTTAGTACTTATCTATGCACATGACATGATACCAGCTAATTAACAGCTAGCCTGGCTGCTAGTTCATCATGTGTACACAATCTAATTAGGGGATATAATGCTTCTAGGGGCTAGTAGGCTGTTGTTCTTGATACCGTTGTGTGTGCGCACGTGCGTGTGTCTCTGTGACCCTGGACAGCTGGAGTGGGAGTCACATTCGCTGGGGTCAGCCCTTCCGTCTCCGCCACCTCACCACGGGGCACTACCTGGCGCTGATGGAGGAGAGGGGGGTGGTGCTTCAGGACCGGGAGAAGTCTGACACATCCTCCACCGCCTTCTGCTTCAGAGCCTCCAAGGTCAGCGCTTAGGACCAGCTATCTCTCACACACACACGCACACACACACGCTCGGACGCACACACACATACACACACACACCTCAGACTGTTTCTCGATCACAGTCAAGGACTCAGCCACACACTCCCTCACAGAGAGCCAGTGAAATGACATTATGGCTCTAGGAACAATTCTAAAGACTTTTAAATGAATGAATCGCCCACTCTCCTTGAACTGGAAAATGTCAATTTCTTTCAAGGAAAATGGAAAACTGCATGAGTTATTACGCACATGAAAGCCACGCCATAAAGGTTAATTTAGCTGAAGTTGCTCTAGAAATGTATCGACCTGCGGCGCCATACCAACCAGGACTAAGGTATTTAAGTCTATTCTTGGTAAGGGTGCTTTAGACGTAGCCAGTGATTGGGAGCAATTAGTGACCTCCTCCTTATGGATCAATAGCATGGTGTAACCCACCATTTTACTGAGGCAGTTTATCATAGGCTTAATACACTTTACATTTCATACCTTTCTATTGTGTCTGTTCTTAATAGGGAAACAAATCAATGGTGATACATGGGGGCTTGCCTGTGGCCATCCTCTGTCACTGTTGCTCAGTGATATAGGCTATACGCACTGTATCTCCTCTTCCTGTTTTTTCCTCCCACTGCCTCTCTATTAGCCTAGCCATTCTAGCGTGTGTACTATTATAGAAAGATGTCAGTGCTCCTCCAGTCCTTGACCAGCCTGATACAGATCTGTCAGCATCTTTTAAATTGCTTTTCATAGATCAAGTTCCGTCAACACCTGCTGCTTTGCATAATCAAATGTGTGATTTGAATAAAGCTGCATACCTTGTCTGGAGCCTGGCTTGGAGACTTTCATTAAAGTTTCATTAAAACTGAGTGTTTCATGTTGATGTGTTTGGATCCTTCCTTCCCTCCAGGAAAAGCTGGAGTCGAGCCCAAAGCGGGACATGGAGGGCATGGGGACGGCGGACATTAAGTATGGGGACTCAATCTGCTTCGTCATGCATGCGGCCACGGGACTCTGGCTGTCCTACCTGGCGCCTGACGTAAAATCATCTCGCCTGGGCCCTCTCAAGAGACGGGTGAGACACCAATACACTGATTTATTTGTCAAATGTTTGATACAGCCAGGACTTGTTTTAAACATTTCTAACCTAACGAATTAACTGACTTTCAACTTTCAGTGAGAATGGTTATGGTGTGACTATTACACTAGCAGTGATAAAACAAATACCATTTAAAAAACTATTGACCAGAAGCACATGCAATAAATATAATGAGATGAAAGAAATTCCCAGAGCAGATGATGATTCTCTTGATGGTTTTCTAACTGATAGTTTTGAGATAAGTGTAGTGCTTTCCCTGTGACTAAATACTCTGACCCAAATCCTCTGGCTGTAAAGAATGAGATGTGAGAGGATTGCAGGAGCGGTGTGTGGGTAAAGTCACTGGGGAAGCCAAGCCAGGGAAAAAAAGCCATATTACAACCTATGTGTCGTGATAATTGCGTTGTTTGCTCTATAACCTATTAGTTCATATGCCGTGTGACTGTGATATATAGGCCTAAGGCAGAGACAATAAGAAGACACAGTGGCAGAATAAATTCAACCACACCTTTGTTTCATCACTAAACCAGAGAGCAACATCTGTCCACAAAGCATATTGCATGTAACAAACAGTTACATGACCTATAGCATGGTCAATCAAGTTAATGTTTCCAACATTTTCGGGCCACTAAACAACTATTGATTTAGAACCACAGAGTTACCGCAAGTCGCAAAGAAAACAGGAGCTACCTCCACAATTCCAGCACCATTTTAACTTCAACATTTCAACATCAAATCACCTATGCTTAGTCTAATACAGTGACTAGGGCTGTTACAGTGACTGTATTACCGCCACACCGGCAGTCACGAGTCATGACCGCAGTCAAATTCCATGTGACCGTTTAATCAGGGTAACTAGGCTTCACCAAGCTCTGATGCTGCTGATGGTCATTAGTAGCCTACCTGTCACGTTCGTCGATAGATGAAGCGGACCAAGGCGCAGCGTGATAAACGTACATCTTTTATTGCAGTACACCACACGAACAAAACAACAAACGAAACGTGAAGTCCTAGGTTAACACAAACCTTTCGGAACAAGATCCCACAAAATAACATGCCCGCAGGCTGCCTAAGTATGGTCTCAATCAGAGACAACAAGCTACAGCTGCCTCTGATTGGGAACCACCCTGGCCAACATAGATCTAAACGATCTAGAACACAAACATAGAAAACTAAACAATGAAACCTACACACCCTGGCTCAACATAAAGAGTCCCCAGAGCCAGGGCGTGACACTACCAAACGTACTAGCTGCCTGGTACTCAGCACTCTATTGTCCCTCTAATCACTCTGACATCAATGCAAATGTAATCGAAAATCAAATCAAACACTTCATGAGAGCCCATGAGCTCATGTTGTGCAACATTTCTATAAGCTATGCAATTGCATGAGAAAACAGAGTTTTGATAGCCTCTATTAAAAAGAGGATGATCCCATCAACTTTCTATAGGCTGGGCCTACTATATTTATTTCTCAACTTTCATAATATTAAGCACATTGCCACAAGAGTGGCATTAAAATTAACCACAGGAAAAGCGTCCTCCATTTGCAATTTAAGTGCATAGATTTAAGTGTTCTGAGACAGGTAATGGTCCATTCTAAATCAAAACTAATTTCACACATATATAACTTAGTATATGTAAAGACAAGATTAAATAATGATGGGTGACAATATTAGCCTATCACTTGTGAATGATATATTATCACTTGTGAATGATGCCCAGCTTGTGTGTAAGGCAAGAAACAGCGCATGCCTTTTTTTACTGGCTGACGAAAAGTAAATATGGACAGTTCTTCTAACATCTTCAATATGTGCCTCGGAATTCGATAAGAAGGATGCGCAGTTGCGTCTCTGTCTTCACTTATAGCCTACTTCGGAGCTGAGATAGATGCCTGTGAGAAGAACCCGATCACGTGACGGGCATTGGCTAATAAGAATTGAGATATCTGAGAGAGCCATGTGAGTGAGAGGTGCTTTGGAACATGCAGCCGGGAGAAGGGAATATAATTATGATATTCAGCCCAAGGGCACAACGGCCACTGGCCGCAAAAGGCATGGATTTTTTTAGGCAGTACGGCCACACTAGGGAAACCCCCCGGGGAAATTTGGGCATTTTCAAGTGCTTGTCAAATTTTGAATGAGAGAAAGTGAAGGGGCAGCCCGTGAAGAAAAAAAGCAGGTCAGGCCTTTCTGCAACTTTTTTTAAAAATCATTAAATCGCACTCCCCAGAAATCTTTTGGAGGGGAAAAAATCCCTTTTATTTTTTTTAGATGTAAAAATAAAGCCCCGGAATTTAAGCAAATCTTGTCCTAAATGAACTAGGTAGCGTTTTCACAAAAAAAATGGTTCCCAGGAGGGGTTTGGGGGCCGTGGAAAAGGAGCAATGTTTTTGGTGGAGCGGGGGAAGACGAGGATGTCTTTTTGGGAGACGGGAAGGGGGAAAAAACCGGGGTCCCCCATTTCCCAAAACTTGTCGTCCCGGGGGGCCCCCCCAGAAAATTTTTCCCTTTCCCCCTTTTCCCAAAAAGGGGACTTTTCCCGGGGGCCCTTTGAATTTTTTTTCAAAAAACCCCCCCAAGGAAAACTAAAAAAGGGGGGCCAAAATTCCTATTTTGGGGGGGGGGGGGTAAAACCCCAATTTTTAAAAACCCCCTTTTTTAAAAAAAAACCCCCCCTTTTTTTTGGCCCCTGACCCGTTGAATTTTTAAAAAAAAAAGAAAAAAGGTGGATTTAAAAATTTTTTATCCAAAACCAAAAAGGGGCCCCAAAAATTTTAAACCCTTTAAAAAAATTGGAAATCGTTAAAACCAAAGGTTTAAAGAGGGTATTTTAAGCCCCGGCAGGCCACAAAAGGCAATGTAGAAAACGCAATAGGGAAAACGGGATTTAGAATCGCTCCTGCACTTGAATGGAATATGCCACTGTCAAACAACTCACCTTTTCAACTTACAATCTTATCGACCCTAGAAATCTTTGCAGAACTCTTTCTTTAAACGTAAGAGCCCGAATTTGCATCTTCTCCTAAATGTAGTTCCAAAGTGTTCTCCAGAGGTGAACCTTCAACAGGTGATGTTGGTGGACTGTGACGCGGTGAGAGACGAAGCGCACGGTAAACGGAAATCATTTTGGTCACACAGCCAAACGAACAAACGGAGCCAAATTAGCACACTTGCGGACAAGGACCCCCAAAAACATTCCCGCAGCCGCCAAAGTTGGGCATAGGCAGAAGTCAGCTGCTGGGGAATGGGCACCCTGGCCCAAAACAAAGACAGGAGCTAGCTACATTGAACCTATCCTGGTCACATAAGAGTCCAGCCAGGGCCTAGAACTGTCTTTTGCAATGAAAACTTCAGGGCGCACGGACCGGCATTTGTCCTCAATGGAATAGTTGGTTCGACCAACACGGTCAGTCGCTGGAGGAGTGCGGGAAAGTCGATTCGAGGAGAGTCTGTTGTGCAATCAAGGGCACTTGAAACACCGGTTTATGCCTCATTAAAGGGAAGGTCCAGGACTTCAGGCTGGCACATTGAGGCTGCAACTAAAGAAGCACATGCACAGAGGGCATTAACATCCAGGAACACGTCTCCATTGCATTTAACAGGTTTAGTGTTCTCGGGCGTAATGGTCCATCAAACAAACTTGGCCCCGGGGATTAGTGGGGCTTGTATTGTAGTAGTTTAATGATGGGTGGACAATTACCATCACTGCACGATTTGATAAGGTGAATGAGGGCCCAGGGGTCGGTAAGGCAGAAACGCCGCAGCCCTTTTGGGTGACGAAAGTTATAGGACAGTTCTTCTAACATCTTCAGTTGTGCCTCGGGAGTGCGATAAGAAGGTCGTATGGGCAGTTGCGTCTCTCGTCTGTCAACTTATAGCTACTCGGACTCGATGTATGGTCCTGTTGAGAAGCCCGATCACGTGACGGGCATGGCTAATAAATTTAGATTTGAGAGAGCCATGTGAGTGGGGAGGTGTTGGCATGCCCGGGAGTATTTAGGGAAATATTCATGATATTCAGCCCAAGGGCACAACGGCCACTGGCCGCAAAAGGCATGGATTTTTTTAGGGAGCAGTACGGCCACACTAGGGAAACCCACCGGGAAATTTGAGGCATTATCAAGTGCTTGTCAAATTGTGAATGAGAGACTGATGAAGTGTGTGCAGCCTGTGCAAGAAACAAAGCAGAGCTCAGGCCTTTCATGCAACTTTTTTCAAATAATCATTAGAGTCGCACTCCCTCAGAAATCTTTTGGAGAAAACATCCTTTCTATTTTATTTAGCTATGTAAAGTAATGCCACGGAATTCTAAGCAAATCTTGTCTGCTAAATGAACTAGTGTAGCGTTTTCACAAAAAGGTGGTTCTCCAGGAGGCGTTGGAGGACCTGTCGGACATGGAGCACATGTTCTTGGGTGGAGCGGGAGAAGACGAGGATGTCGTTGAGGTAGACGAAGACGAACCGGTTCAACATGTCGCGGAGAACATCATTAACCTGGGCCTGGAACACAGCTGGAGCATTGGTAAGGCCAAATGGCATGACCAGATACTCGTAGTAACCGCTGGCCGTGTTGAAGGCAGTCTTCCACTCGTCCCCCTCCCGTATCCGCAACAGGTGGTAGGCGTTCCGTAGGTCCAGCTCGGAGAACACGTTGGCACCCTGGAGCGGCTCGAAGGCCGGGGAGATGAGTGGTAGCGGGTAGCGTTTCTTCACCGTGATGTCGTTGAGGCCCCGGTAGTCGATGCACGGGCGCAGGGTTTTGTCCTTCTTCTCCACAAAGAAGAACCCTGCGCCAGCGGGGGAGGCATAAGGACGGATGAACCCGGCAGCTAGGGAGTCCTCAATGTAGGTCTCCATAGCCTTGGTCTCCGGACCCAACAGCGAGTACAGTCGTTCCTGGGACGGAGTGGTGCCTGGGAGAAGGTCGATTCCGCAGTTGTAGGGTTGGTGCGGCGGAAGCGAAGTGGCCCGGGCC